GCTTTTCTTTTCCACACCCTTTTCTCTCAAATCAACAATCCATACGGTCTCTAATTATTCTACAGCAATAAATATAATGTAGCCATACCCTAATTAAAACTCTTCAAAGTACCTCTATCACTTATAGTCTTGGGTCTAAATTGTTAACAGAGCATACAAGGTTATTTATAATCAGGACCCATCTCTATCATTCCAGATTCATTTTTTGCTATTCCCTGCCTTCTGCTCCAACAGCACTAAAACATGGTGTTTATTACTTTAGTGACTTTGCTCATACATTTCTTTGAAATTCCACTAACATCCTAGCTTACCTCCATATAAATCTAAATCCAATTCCTCTTTTAAGATATGGCCTAGCTGTTGTCTTCTCCATGACATCTTTCATAAAAGTACACCACCACACTGCCCACCATCAATGCCAGTGATTCCTTAACATGCTGTGTATACCTTTAAATGAAATAAATACTAGGAAAAAAATTAGAATATGGGGGTAAATCTTAAAATATAAAAGGTATATTTATTAAAATAAGGGATATATTTTAATAAAGGGATATTAATAAAAGGAATCACAATATCCATTCTAAATATGTTTGTTTAAATAGTGACTGCATTTTAAAATAGACAATGAATCAGAGATAATTTTGTACTGGGCAGCATAATCTGGCCAAAAGAAAAAGAGTTTTGATTCTTAATATTAGTTAATATTTGTCCCTGAAATAATATAAAGAAATTTAACTAACATTATTTAAACCTCTACTCATCTGTTCCAAAGAAATAGCATTCATGAATTTCACATTACAACCTTGGTGTAGAGAGACCAGTGATTCTGATTCTTCACAGACTGGGGATACCATTTTGAGTTTACTGCATTCATTCCATTTATCAGATTTCATATAGCCAAACTATGACCCACTTAGACATTTAACACATATTGATCCCCAGAAGGGGAATTCCCAGACCATGATAGTAAATGCTACCTTGAAATCTGGGCTGGGAAAATGGACCCTTAAGAGTTGGTGTCACTTTGTTTTCTCCCAGAACCCTCAATAGAGAGGCGACTTTTCTTTAAGTGATCAGTTGTTTTGACTCAAGAAGGTGAGTTGTTTTAAATCAAGAAGATGAGTGAGGAAGAATTTAGATAATTAGTTCAAAACCCCCTTTTTTTTGGTATCATTAATATACAATCACATGAGCAACATCGTGTTTACTAGATTCCCCCATTATCAAGTCCCCCCCACATACCCCATTATAGTCACAGTCCATCAGCATAGTAAGATGCTATAGAGTTACGACTTGTCTTCTCTGTGCTATACTGCCTTTCCTGTGCCCCCCTCTACATTACGTGTGCTAATTGTAATGCCCTTTATTCCCCTTATCCCTCCCTTGCTACCCATCCTCCCCAGTCCTTTTCCCTTTGGTAACTGTTAGTCCATTCTTGGGTCCTGTGAGTCTGCTGCTGTTATGTTCCTTCAATTTTTGCTTTGTTCTTATATTCTACATATGAGTGAAATCATTTGGTACTTGTCTTTCTCCACCTGGCTTATTTCACCAAGCATAATACCCTCTAGCTCCATCCATGTTGTTGCAAATGGTAGGATTTGTTTTCTTCTTATGACTGAATAATATTCCATTATATATATGTACCACATCTTCTTTATCCATTCATCTACTGATGGACACTTAGATTGCTTCCATTTCTTGGCTATTGTAAATAGTGCTGTGATAAACATAGGGGTGCATATGTCTTTTTGAAACTGGGCTGCTGCATTCTAAGGGTAAATTCCTAGGAGTGGAATTCCTGGTTCAAATGGTATTTCTATTTTGAGTTTTTTGAGGACTCTCCATACTGCTTTCTACAACAGTTGAACTAATTTGCATTCCCACCAGCAGTGTAGGAGGATTCTCCTTTCTCTGCATCCTCGCCAGCATTTGTTGTTCCTAGTCTTTTCTATGTTGGCCATCCTAACTGGTGTGATAGCTCATTGTGGTTTTAATTTGCATTTCCCTGATAATTAGTGGTGTGGAGCATCTTTTCATAAGCCTGTTGGCCATGTGAATTTCTTCTTTGGAGAAGTGTCTATTCATATCCTCCGCACATTTTTTAATAGGGTTATTTGCTTTTTGGGTGTTGAGGCATGTGAGTTCTTTAAAACCCTTTTTTAAAACAGAGATTGATCCAGATTTAAATTTTGTCCAATTGATAAAAGAAGAACAATGTAGAAAGGAAACTGAGTATATATCTGAGAATAGATTCAAGCTTTGGATATGTAAGTAAGTAAAGAAAAGTAGAAACTAATTGGTAAAGGTAAAGAGACTAACTGGTAAAGGTAAAGGGATCAGGAGAATGGAGTTCTCCACTGAGATAAAAGAACTAGTGAGGTAGAAGTAACTCAATGAAAAACAAAGAAAGAACCAGTTGCATCTCTGGTCCAAGAATGGAGTACTTGAATTAAGATTTCTAAGGTAGAACAATATCAAATTATCATAAAACTCAGAGTATGGCCATAGGAGTGGCTGACTGAAGTAGAATTGGGAGTATAGTCCAATATCTCTAATTTAAGACAGTCAAGGAAGAGAATGGGTTCTAAATAGGTCATTCAGATGAATGCCAACATCTCTTTCATTGATTGCAGGAATTTATGATAAAGAGGAAGACTAAAATCAGGTACTGAATCTTCAGTGAATAAAATAACCAAGAGGTCAAAAGATGATATCAACATGGAAGGCTAATAGGGTGGTTGTGCTCACTGGCATTACATACAAAGGCACAGGAGTTAAAGACAAGAAGCATAGAATATTATTGTAATAAATACAGGAAAATGGGTAGATGACTAGATAAGCTTTTACATCTTCAATAATCCCTGAATCTCACAGTGGATTGAGGTAGGGATCAGAGGCACTGAGTAACTTAGAAAATTAGCCGACTGAAAACATATGATGATCAAAGTCACTTAAAACAAAAACAAAAACAAAGGAAGGAAACGTGATACTGAAGATTCAGGGTAGAATTACTTCTGTGGAAAAGGCATATGGATTCAATACGCAAGGTGCCAATGGGAAGATGCCAAAAATGTAACTACATATTCTGGATCTTGGTTTGGGTAGTAAATTCACAGATGTTCATTTTATTATTATGCTTTGAAACATGTACACATTCTTCTGTATGTCTCAAAGTGATAATGATAAAAGGTAATATTTTGAAGAACAACTGAAGAACTTCATTCTTACAAAATCTACCCAATTTATCTGGTAATAGGTATACACTAGACTCAAAAATTTGAATCATTTAAGCAATGGCAAATTTTACAGCAAGATATTTGATTGTTTTCTAAAATTGATTTTATTTTACTTTAATATAAATATCAATAATATTGTGTTTCCTGGCCATAAACCAAATCATGTTACAAAAGGCAATTCAGAAATGTATTCTTCAAAATAGGCAGTTAGGCTATTCATAAAAGTACACCACCTTTTAAGGTTGAGAATTTGGATAAGTATATGAAATTGATAACCTAGAGCTGATTGAAAACTGATTCTATGTTATTTTATTGAAAGAATAAATGATATGGAGCAGAAAATCTTGACAACTAGGACTAAGAAATATAGAGTATAATAAAACCTAATGTGGTGCATGATTTTAACCTACATTTAAATGAAGAGATCCCAGATAAGTAGAATAATCCTATAATCAGTAATGTCTCATCCACATCACCTACCTTAAGAAAGATCTGACTAACTATAAGGACAGTTATATAACTACTTTTTCACATTTTGTACATTCCAAGTATAATCATTGCAACCAAAAAATAAGATGTATAGAGTACTAGTAAAAATAAAAGACATAACAACAAAAAATAATTAATATTGAAGCAAGATAAGAGAAGAGACTGAGAAAATGCAAAAGAAAAGAAAAAGAAAACAAAAAAAAATGCTCATACAAATAAACTGAAAGGCACCACATTTCAATTACAGTTACTGAAAGACATCACAAAACTTGAATTATTAGGAATTTATTTTTGATGGTATCTGTTTCCTTCCACATGTATCTACATGATTTCCATCCTTACAGATTTACCCATTAGTTAATTTTTTCTAAACTCTTTTATTACAAATTAACTATATTAATAGTATTAATTAACTATATTAATAGTATAAAAGTGGTCACATATAACCCAAATCACTGAAACAATAGAGTGAGTACACACAAAATTTCTTATGTGTATTAGCTGAACCCACCACCACATTATTACTGACATTCTCTTCTCTACCTACAAAGCCTCAAATCTTGAAATTTGACAGGCTCAAATCTGTAAAGCTACATATACAGCATTAGAAACTGAAAGATTTAGAGACTTCCTTTCCCTTCTCTTTCTAGTTAATTGTGTTAAATGCCAGATAATTGATATTTCTCTTCAATATAAGGGGACCTGTGGTAGAGTAGAAATGAACAAGGATTTTCTACCGAACCTAGTATTCTCTATGGATCCCGGATCATCTATTATGACCAGTAAGTAGATCACAGCCATTTTTGGCAAGGTAACCATACACCTATCTGTTCAACCTAAGGACTTCAAGGACTGACTCCTCACTGTGGAAGGAAGTGGGGAAGCAGGTTGTTGAGATATGTACAAATTCTCCAGCACTGTCCAAAAATCTAAGTATGAACTCTGCTGAGGAAGGTGGGCAATTACTTTTTAAAAATACTGTTTATCTATCCTTCTAGGTAATCAAAAGTTAACTGTAATTCCTGGTGAGCTAAATTTTTTGATAATCAAAGAGATGATCCTAACTCATTAAAGGGATGCTATGTTTTTGACACCCTTCTACAATTAAAGGGTTAATATGTTTTATTTTCTACTACTTTGTAAGGACAATATTTCTGTATTTCATTGACAACCATAAAAGTATATATAAAAAACAAAAATAGAAGTGAGTTATACAATATAAATAGACAGGCACATGCAATTCTACAGACAGACTCAATTGTAAGAAAAATATACCTGCCATCCCTGTGGTGATGCTCAATGGTCTGACTGTATCTGGAGCGAGGTAGAGTAAGAAAGTGACTGCAAGCATGGCAGAAACAAGAATAGAAATGAGACTCAAGAAAGAAATGAAAAGGTACAGTTTAATTTTTTTAAGTGAGATTCAAAAAGGATAAACAGATAGTAAGCAAAGCAAATGAAAACTATTAACAGAAAACTTGTTCTTTCCTCCCAACATCCGCCATAACATGGCAGTGCTAACAATTAAATATTCTAAATATTCTAAAATAAAACACAACAAAAATATGACAAATTGAGATTTAAGCAAATCAAATTTCAAAATAAAATCATATCAATTATTACTCAAACATCTTCAGCACCATTTAGAAAATGTTACACAATATAGATGGTTTCCCCTTTTCTAGGAGGAAAGGTGAGAAAAGAAAAATAATAAAATAACTAGAAAGTTTAAGAAGAAACTAAAAGAGGTAATTTCTAATACCTATCATATGCAGGAGATTTTAAAAGGTAATTATTTCTTTCTCAATCATTAATAATTAAGAATAACTAGAGGGACTTCCAGCTTCCATTTAGTAAGGAACAAACTGATTCAAATTATTCTTATTTATTAATTCTACTTATTAAATTTATTTCATGCTACCCATTTTCCCATCAGTATGTTTATTACATGCTATTGGCTCTGCCACATTCCATGCCTCACAAGTCATCAAAATAGCACACTGACCCTTTTAACCATCTGTATTTGATTTTCTTCTCATAACACAAACTTAAAATTTTCTATTTTCTTAAAACTCTTCATGCCAAATCACTTAATTTTGGCAGACGATCATTATGTTTCAGTAAAAAATGGAAACCAACCTTGAATTCTCTCAACTTTCATATTTCTGCCTCTAAATACAGAGTACATATATCTTGTCCTTTTCTTCTTCACCAGAGGAAAGACTTCTTGTACTCCTACTTCCCATGTGACTTTGTTTCATTTATTATTGTCTCATGACTTCCTTCCTCAACTGCACTTAATCCTAAAAATAAAACCTTTGCTAACTTGCTTTCCTCTCAAGCCACTGCATCTTTCTGATGTTCCTTCCATCATAAAACATTCTAGACATATCTACAATTTTTTGCCACCAGTTCACTTCTCATTCATGACTTAAGCTGTTAAACATACATTAACATTAAACATTAATACATTAAATATAAATTAACTTCTGACTCTACCATTCTTTTGAAGCTATCCTGTGAATGCTACCTGTGAAGTCCCCCCAAAAATCCTTTTATCTCCTCTTGATCTTCCCTATGTGCCAAGTACTCCATTAGAGCTTTGTCTACTTTATCTCATTTACCTCTCATAACAACTCTTTAAGGTAGGTTCTAGTGTTCCTGTAAGCAGAGAAACTAAGGCTGTGAATGCTGGCCCACAGCCATATAGTAAGTAATGGGACTGGGTTTTAAATTAGGGGCTTTCTTCATCAAAAATTCAGGTGTTAATATTTATATATATGGCATAGACTCCTTCCTATCCCTTTCAATTACGGGATTTCCTTTCTCTATATTCTTCAGAGGCAAAGGTTTTCTAAAATTTGTATTTCAACTTTCTTTATATTCTAACACATTATTTCTGAATAATACTATTTGTTTTTGTAGTGTAAAATCTCCCTTTGCTTTAGCCTTGATGTTTTCTTTGGGTTTCATAGCACATTTCCAGCTGCTTTCAGGACTCTCCACGTGGCTGCTTGAGTGTTGTGCAGACACAATTAATACATGTTAATTGTGAGGCTTGAGATAAAAATAAAACCTTTGCTAACTTGCTTTCCTCTCAAGCCACTGCATCTTTCTGATGTTCCTTCCATCATAAAACATTCTAGACATATCTACAATTTTTTGCCACCAGTTCACTTCTCATTCATGACTTAAGCTGTTAAACGTACATTAACATTAAACATTAATACATTAAATATAAATTAACTTCTGACTCTACCATTCTTTTGAAGCTATCCTGTGAATGCTACCTGTGAAGTCCCCCCAAAAATCCTTTTATCTCCTCTTGATCTTCCCTATGTGCCAAGTACTCCATTAGAGCTTTGTCTACTTTATCTCATTTACCTCTCATAACAACTCTTTAGGTAGGTTCTAGTGTTCCTGTAAGCAGAGAAACTAAGGCTGTGAATGCTGGCCCACAGCCATATAGTAAGTAATGGGACTGGGTTTTAAATTAGGGGCTTTCTTCATCAAAAATTCAGGTGTTAATATTTATATATATGGCATAGACTCCTTCCTATCCCTTTCAATTACGGGATTTCCTTTCTCTATATTCTTCAGAGGCAAAGGTTTTCTAAAATTTGTATTTCAACTTTCTTTATATTCTAACACATTATTTCTGAATAATACTATTTGTTTTTGTAGTGTAAAATCTCCCTTTGCTTTAGCCTTGATGTTTTCTTTGGGTTTCATAGCACATTTCCAGCTGCTTTCAGGACTCTCCACGTGGCTGCTTGAGTGTTGTGCAGACACAATTAATACATGTTAATTGTGAGGCTTGAGAAAGACATTTGCTTATTTGGACATCTGATACTCCATCTGTGAAATGAGGGGCTAGAATTGCAGTTTTCAAACTTTCTTTTTGAGGAGAAGACCACTTGTTTTTTCAGACAAGTTTTTATGTAAACCAATATATAGTAATCCAATAAAATCAGAATGACTCTGGCTAAAGAGGGTACCCACTACCCATTTTGCTTTACTCTTAGCTACAAGAGCAGTCTTCCAAGTACCTCCTCAGAACCTAATGACTCTGATATCTAAAGCCCCTTCTAGTTTCAAATATAATTCTTTAATCCCTCTTTGGAAACACTTGAGTTCCTTTTCTTCTTGTAATTCCAGTTTCAACTAAGGATTTAAATATTTACTCAACAAACCAAGTTTCAAAATCTCAGAATTTACCTTTCCATTTTCCTTATTTTCTATATTGAATTGCTAGTTCTAATGCCTAAATAACTCAGATTTATCTCTTCTCCTTTTCTTGTGTCACTACCTTAAGTCAGGCTTACTTGTCTATTGAAATAACTTTCCATCAGGTCTCCCTTCCCAACTCTCTCTTGATTCAACCCATTCTCACTCTGGCTACAGCATTTTTGCAAATTATGCTTGTGATCAAATAGGTTCCTTGCCAAAATTCTTCAATAGCTTCCCGTATCTTAAAATGGCATATAAATTAAGTTCTAGACTACTTTTGATGTTCATCTCCTATCATTTCCCATCTCCCATACCACAACTTTTGACCTACATACAGCACACTACCTAAGAATCTCTATACACATCGTACTTTCCTAACCTCAGCACTTCATTCATGCTCCTCACGCTTCTATGAGCACTCATTATCACCCTCTGTCTCCACTTCATTGCCTTTCAAAATTCTACTCAATCTTTAAGGTCTAACTTCTCTTTGAAGCCTTTTCCACTAGATCCAAACAAGTAATTTTCTCTCCATTCTGTTCCAATAATATTATGCTTAGGCCTCACAGCCCTCAACATTTTATAATTAATTGATAATTGTATAATTAGTTGGTATATAATAGTGGTATAACTAGTTGTTGGATCATCTGTTTACCTAGACCAAGATGGTTATTTAAAAAATTTGCACATGATAGCTGACCCACTCAATAAACACATTTAGGACTGAACTAAAAAGTGAAAGCAGAATATCAATATTTTCATGGTGAACCTACTCTTCAAAAAGAGCAGTGATTTGTATAATCATAGCAACATCCTAGAAATGTAAACAGAAGATCATAAACCTATGTAGTATAAGAAAATAAGGAAAATGGTATTTTTAAAAAGGTATTCCTTGCTTTACAAAGAGTAGAGAACTAACACCCACAGTTGTGATGTTGGGATTTATTGCATTAAATAGGAATAGATTATCTCAGAAGAAGGAAAATGCCAAACTTCAAAGTAATGAAAATATATTAACTTCAAAGCTTGTTAGAATTTTCAAATTAACAGAACTTATGTAATTGTCCAATTTCTAATATTTTCCTTGAAGAGCCTTATCATGAATTTTGTCCCTATAATGCCAAAGAAAACATTTATCAAGAATCACTTCTATCAAGTATCTGTTCTATTTCCTTTTTTGTGATAGTTGATTTTATATATCACCTTACCTGGCCAAGGGGTGCCCACATTAAACATTATTTCTGGGTGTATCTGTGAGGGTGTTTCCAGATGAGATTAGCATTTGATTCAGTGGATTCAGTAGATTACCCTCCTCAATGTGGGTGGGCATCATGCAATCTGGTGAGGGCCTGAATACAACAAAAAAAAGAGGAGTCCCTCCCTTCTTTTCCTGCCTCACTTTTAAGCTGGACAGATCTCTCTCTGGTCCTAAGACTGAGATTCATAGCCTGGGCTTCCCTGTTTCTTAGGCCTTCTGACTCTGAGTGAGTTATTCCACTATTTCATGGGTCTCCAGTTTGCAGGCAGCAGATGGTAGATCTTCTCAGCTTCCATATCCTGGGAGAAATTCCTTACTATCTATCTATCTATCTATCTATCTATCTATCCATCCATCCATCCTACTGGTTCTGTTTCTCTGGAGAATCTTGATAATATACTTTTCTATAGTCATATTATACCTATTCTGGTCATGATTCCCTTTGAAATTCTGTTTAAAACCATACAAATGCATCTAAATAGTATATAAAATTAATCACACTGTTTTAGCAAGCTCCCTAAAATCTACCTAAGGTCCAGAGATGCATCCAAGGTCCTTTGCTGCATTTACTGATACAACATAAAAATATTTTATTTACACTTCTCAACTAAACGATGCTTATTTTTCTCCCCAAATTGAGGACATTATAAAATCTAAGCAATAAATACTGTCTTGAATATACATAATGAGTTAAACAAATAAGTTATATTAAAAGTTGCATTTAATCCAATCTGTTTGAATTTTTTAAAAAATTGAACAGAACAGTAATTCATTGTAAAAGGAAAACACAAAACTAAGAAAACTACTAAATTACTAAAAATGAAGATGTTAGATTATAAAATTGTGATTTAAAAAAATCACTATTCAAAGAACCAAACTAGATTACTGATTCAATTTCTAGACGTGCTTTTACTATTTTTAAGAAATGTTATCTTTAAAAACAGAACAAAATTGTACTTATAATGAATTATCCTTCCACTTCATTAGGCTAGCCTGAATGTCCCCCTTTAGGAACCACCAGACACATAAAAAGGACTGCAAAAGGAGGAGGGAAAATATCCTTAAGTAACCTTGTTTTTGAAAGCTAAGTTTCAGAAAAAGCTCAACTTAGTGCAAAACTTTCTACTCTGTGTCTTTCATATTGTTAATGTTTTGCTACTTTATAGCCCTAAAATATTCTCTATATTATTTAATTATGCTAAAATACACCCTGAAATATAATAAATAAAATTTAGTATTTTTGTAAAGTGAATTCTTTTTTCATTTACTTTCTCTATATTTTGATACTTTCAGAGATGTGTTTCCCACATAGGTAACTGAAAGGACCAACAAGAGTATAAATAGCTATGAGTATGTTTGACACTTTCTGGCAGCTGATTGCCTGATAAAGAGTGGAGAAATGGCATTAAGTGTGTGAGGTACACCAAAGATCCATATAATAGGACATTTTTATTTTCAGAATATAAATGTATTAATTGAATACACAAAAGAAAGAAATTTATGAGGTAATATATCTTCTGACAGTGTTAATTATATTTTTTTCTTACTATACTAAAAATATATTCCATGGAATTAAATGTACCCAATATACTTTGTCTTCTAGGATAGACATAAAGATGCATACTAGAGGATATCTCTGACTTGTCACAAAAATATTATCTAGTACTCTATTCACAGTCTAATAGTAAATTAACTTATGTAAATAAATAGGGCCTAAATGACTGCTAGTAGTAAAGCCACATAGTTTGCTCCAGGCAAATTATGTTCCTAGTTGTGGTAGTTACTAGGATTTACCAGAGAAACAATGATACAAAAAGTAGCAGGGATGGAGACAAAGATGAAAAATGTTTGTTAAAATGCATCATTTTACCTAATATCCCTGTACCCAAGTTCCTGAATTACTTGTAAAGAACCTATTTTTTCTCAAAACAGAATAGGATTTTCACTAATGATTAGAGTGAGATGTCAGAGAAATAAAGATCAAATCAAATTTTAATATGCAATTCTTTTTACACTACCTATAAGAAAAGGATATGAATACTGTATCTCCTTCTTATACCATTTAAGTTTAACTAGGTACTATATATAAATTAAAGTCAGATAGTATCATTTCTCACCCAATATAGCCAATGTAAAAGCCATTATCTTCATGTACAACTTTACACTGTGCACCAAGTCTCAACTCCTTCACCCTTTATACTGGGTCTTTCTGATGCCTATGAGTGTTCTGCCTCTGCTGTTGTTATTTATTGCCTGAGTAAATATGCTTATTTTCAGGGCCCAACTCATGTCCTACATTCTCTACAAAACCTTTTTAAATCTACCTAAATGGACTGTTTTATCTATTTTCTGCTGAATTTTAAGCACATTAAAACATCAATTATTTGTAAGCCAAAAGATCCTTTTAAAATATTTAAAAACTTTGAGTACCTACTATGCACCTGAAGGCACTGTCATTTAATCTACCTTACAAACCTATAAAGTTGGTACTAAGAGTCTAATCTTATAGATAAGAAAATCAAGTGTCAAAGAGGTCAATTTTCCCAAAGATACACACAGCTAGCAAGTGTAAAAAGCCTAAGTTCAAACCCAACGCCATTTGGTTCCAAATCCTATGAAAAAGAGTACATTCAATGAAATATTATTCTGGTCCAGTATGTCAACTCTTACTGACAAAAAAGATTAAAATACCACTAAAAATACCTAAATTTTACTTATTATCTCAAAGGAAATTCTCTTTAGGCTTTTTAATCAACAATTTATTGACTGACTCTAAAAATGTTGTTAATGAAAATTCACTTTAAGAGTTCTAGAGTATTTTACATTCTAAATAGTACATTAAAATCACAATGCCTTACATGCATTCTATTATTTAAACTCTCTTCGACTATTAGGACAAAACAAAAATTAAGGATCCATTTTCAATAACGTGATAGACTGCCTACATGAATAATACTGTACATTTTTATTTTTTGTTCCTCATGTTAATTAATGATTACACAGATAATTCATAATAATATATTAGAAATGGTTTTATGGTCTCATTTAAATGAATTTCTATTTTACTTATTTCAAAAGATACTTAAAACAACTCACAATTAAGAGTCATTATGAACTGTAATCTATACCCCTCTAAAAAAGTGAAACCACATGGATCACTTTCCCCCCAAAATTCTTAATGACCTGAACATTTTTGCTAAACTAAAAGATCCACAAAGTTATAAAGTAAACAAGAAAAACATAATGACATTTCAACAATGTATATTAGCTAAAACTAAGGATTTAAGAGAAAATTATTCATCATTAACTCTAGGGCTATTTGTCTTAAAAATATTGATGAAATATTATGTGTTTGATATGATACTGACTATTTTTGCTTATGTGTATAATTCTAGAGGTTAATTTATTCTATTCTTCTCTGCAAGATTTAGACTATACTGACTTCAGAGAAAATATTAAGTTCATTTTCCATTAAAAGAAAAACTTTATGTAAACTTGAAGGATTTAAAGTCCTTTCAGACTCTTCTCTCTCATCATTTCCTTAACAAACCTTAAATGAACAAGGAGTTTATGAAGTGCTGTATACGTAATTTCCAGAAATAATCAAACTCATCAGAATCTATTAGGTAACAAAAGTAGTCATTCATCCACCCTAATATGACACCTTTCAACTCCTAATCACGCCAACATAATTATCTTTCATTATTATTGTACTTGATAAGCATCAATTTCTATAGGTAACTTGCCTGTAATTACCCCTAGAAACACAGATCATTATGAAAAAATCTAGTTAAAAAGAAATAATATATTGCTTCTCATTCAACACTGATAAAAATATTGATTAAATAACTTCCTATTTATTCTTAGATTTCATATACAAAAGCCAATACTTGTTTGATACTATTGAAGACTAAGATATTCTCTACCTTTTCTTTTGGAAAAGTGTACTAAAACACAATGAAATTATAAGCACAAACTGAGTATAACCCTAGATTTAGACAAAACAATCAAGTTTATAATTACTGAGAGCAGTTTGTCATATCCATTAATGTTAAAGGCCCTAAGTATTTTTACTAAAATTGTTTTAGGACACATCCAAAGAGATATCTGTGTTTACTTTTATTTTATCATAATATTCTCTGAATAGTAGATTAAGCTTTATTTCCTTGTCCTTATTTCAAACATTTATGAAAGTCTTGGAGAAATATCACAGCATTCTTCATTTTATATATAACCAAACCATGAATTAGAGGGTTTATCAATTTTGCTTAACTTAAAAAAAATTAGTAGTAATTAACGTATGTATTGAAATTAATGTATGTATACTGTGTTACTTTCAAGTACATCACTTTAAATGGAGCAAATTCAGAGAACTCTTCCAAATGCGGAAATCAATAAGCATGATTGTTTAAGATGCTTAAATGGTTTGCTGATAGTCATGAAGAAAATTTACATCTTCATGAATCAGTTTTTGTGTTTGTTTCTTAAATAAAACAGACGTCTCCGTTATTTTATATGTAAAATGTCACACTAATATCCCTAGTGAATGTGAAAAGACTTTAAATCTATTGTCTCATGAAAGTATTTTATATGTATAATTGGTTATGATAAGTTAAAAAAATCTTGTTTTCTTTATGACTATCATTATAACTTCATATGCAAATTCACTAATCTAACTGGTTTGATTTAACAAAGAACCAAACTTGTAAGAGCAAGATATTTTTTTTTACCATAGAATATTTGTTTTTGTTTATTTGTTTTTTAATGATATAGCAGTCATAAGAATGAATGTAGGCATTGTAAAGGAAATATATGGTTTTTGAAACTAAGATAAGAAATACGCAAGTTCAGGATGAAAACATTTTATAGTAATACCTTTTGGAGGGTAGTAATTGTAATAAGACCTAATAGTATTTAATCACATTTACCTGTCTCTATCTGGAGAATAATGGTCATCCATGACACGATGTCTATCCATTCGGCTAACTGTATTATAATGTCCAGTAGTAGAGCGTGTCGCTCGAAGGCCCTGTTCCACATTCCGACTGAAATAGCAAGATCCATTAAATATCTTAATAAATCAAAATCATATACCATACTAAGAAATAAGGTTTATTAATAAAGATAGTCAAAGAAAGACAAAAATCACTGTAATATCAAGTACAAGTTTTTTGTTTTAACTAATTGCATTTCTAGCAAAGGATATAAATTTCAACTGGAAATTGATAGTGAAGTAAGGAGATTGCTGCTGTAGCAGAGATATGACATAAAATTAAACTAATATCAACGGGGACAGAGATAAAGATTATCAAAACTATGAATAGATGACTCTCAGGTCTCTGGTAGTGATACTCAAGATGTATTAAATACAGGAGGATGAATTGATTTGTGTGGAGAAAATGGGTTCAGCATGTTGACTACTGACAATATACTGGTGAACCTTGTTTAAATGACAATGATTATTATTTGTGTTTTTAAACCTAAACTGGAATCTTTAGAATTGATCAATCATGATTTTTTTTGAGCTAACATTCTTGGCCTGGATTGTCTACTTACTTTCTTTACAAAATAGAATAAACATTTTATGCAAGCTCCTGATGTTACAGGCTTCTTATTATGTGCAGAGAATCTAATCGAAAACCTATACCTGTTTCCTACTGGAATGTTCAAATATTCTTTCCCTGGTAAAAGCAAAGCTTTTTTTTTTTTTTAATGAGGAAGGGTTTAATTTATTAAAATTACAAATTCAAAAATACAGTTCTCTCTTAAACTTCAAATTCCATGTTACAGATCTTATTATTTTTTTGATAGGTCAACAACCATCAAGCAATTACTTTTCAGAAGACTTAATAGTTTTAGTCCCATTTACAAATTTAGAAAATTCAATATCTTCAAATATTTTAAACTATGTTTATAAACTTATAATTAGTTTTTAATTATTTTAGTTTTCAAGACTGACACTTCTTAAGGAATTAATATCCTTATACTTTAAAAAGCTGAATTTGTAAATACAGTACATCTTAAGTTCTCTTAGTCTAATGTCCTATATAAAATTATGATTATAATTTAATATTCTAAGTCTAAAACTAAATCAATTACTCATTTAAAATAGGAGTTATAAGGCTACCATTCTGAGTTCAAATTTTCTTAAACATGCAAGTATATAAAATGTGAATTACACATCAATTTCTTATTAGCAAACACTTTACTTCTGTGGCTCTTACTCCATTAAGCCTTTCTGTACTTCAATGGGTAGATTAGTTTTCCATTAGACAGTAAGATCTGGAACTGCTTATTTTCTGAGCCATTCTTCCCACTCCTATGCATTCCTTTTTATTCTTTGCATGATTGTTCCTGTTTTAAAGCCCCATCAGATGTTTCTTTTTTCGTATTTCTTAAATTATCAATATCTATATCATTCATGAACAGTTGGTTCTAACTAGACCTACTGATATTGATATGTAGTTATCCACAAAAAAGCTGGGTCTTCTTTACAATTTTGACTCTTTCAATAAGATAACACAAAGGTCATCCAAAGTTACAAAAACAGCCCATATTTCATATTACTCTCATTATATAGGTTATTATTTTTCTGTAAGTTTTTACTACAATTTACTATCTTAGGGATTATTAATGGTACTTTATGACAAATAGGTTTCTAATACCATCTTACAAATAAATGATTACACTATCTTACCTCTGTGGAGGAGGGACACTGGGTGACCATGATCTAGTCCTTCCTATAACATCTACTCGTTGAGGAGACCCTGATGGTGAACAATGGTTTGATGACATTACTTGTTCTGGCACTGACAATGTTGAACTTTGAAGATCTCGACCATTGTGTCGATAATCTAAAGGTAGAAAAATTAAAAGTATAGTTATCTACTTACTGAGCCCTCTTGTATTCTGTACTTTACTGAAAAACACAAAATGTGGTAAAGTTGAAAGATTTTGGATATATTAAATGTAAAGTATAATGAATAAAGCATAATACTAAGATAAAATAATATTTTATAAACACTTAAAGAGTTATGATGAATATTCAAATATTTAGATAGCTACTCTACCCACAGCATTGTGTTAGGTACAGTAAAACTTTTATGTATTTTTGCAGTCCTAGTAAATAAAATATTTCTCATTTTTTGCAAAAACAAAAGGATAAACGATAGTTATTTTGAATTTTTAAACTGTAGTACACTGAGCGCATTCTAATTAACCCATACTTTAACAAAATTTGTCAAACAAAATTTATCAGTCACTGATGCAACTACAGCATGACTTATATACAATAGAACATATATTGTCCAGAGTAAAATTCATCACATTTATGAAATTTGTTAGGCTAATTAACATTTAAGAAGAAAATCGAACATTTTTATTATATTAATAATATACACACACACACACACACATATATAAACACGTTTTCTAGAATTTACTTTAAAATGCTACTTAACCAAAATATACTGCATATAAATTTCTGACAATAAATTATACATTTTAAACTACAATAATTTAAGTTCAAAATGAAGTTATACCTGATACTAATCAACATAGTAACAATGAAAAACTTTCGAAAATGGTCATTCAAATATTTGATTTGGATATGCTGGTGATGTCAAAAAGATATTTTATTTTTTCACTGTTAATTTCACTGTTTCAATTTCATTGTTAATGTAGTTATAACTCTTCAAATTTACAGCAAAGTCCTTACTATTGAGTAGTTTAAAAACAGAAAATTTGTAAATATTCACTTACCTGACATCTTTCAATACGAACATTCAATCTAACAACTGGTACAGATGGTCCAGCAACCAGAATTATTCAGCTTACATTGCCGTAAGATTGTGTTTTAGACAATAAAGAGGCAAGTTCTTTCTTTCTCATTTAATTAATTAGTCAATTATCTATTTATTTATTGGTAAATAATGAATTATATTTCCTTATTACTGTGAAATAACTCTGAAATTCTTACCTGATACTATACCAATTCCATCATCACAGTCATAGTCAGAGACTTCACTGTCACTTATTCTCTTTGATCCTATGAAGCAAACAATAGCAATAATTAGAATTACTGATAATTAAGCAGGGAAAAAAAAACCTCACAGACCAAAAAAAAAAAAAAAAAAGGGAAGATTTTGAATGGGACACTTCAGAATAAAATAATACAGGGAGAAGGAAAGTCATTATGAATGCACAAACATTTATTTTCATATTTCACAATGTGAAGATATTATTTTCAAAATAAATTCTTGAAATGTGTAAGATAAAGTTCCTAAATGGCTTAAAGCTTGAAGTAATATTAAATACTAAATAACATACATGTGATTTGATGCTGATTGATAAAAATATACTAAACCAAAAGCTAAGTCAAAATAGTTCAGTTAGTCAGTTTTAGATGATTTTAGACAAAGGTGTTTAAGTTCAGGTAAATTTCAAAACAAAAAATATTTTATTTTCTCTTTTTGATTTTAATTTTTAAATTAATTTCTTAAATTTCAGTTGACATACAGTATTATATTAGCTTCAGGTGCACAACAGTGATTTGACAGTTATATACACTACAAAATGTTCACCACAGTAAGTGTAGTTATTGTATGTCACCATAAAGGTATTATTGACTATATTTCCTATGCTGCACTTTACATTTCTGTGACTAACTTTTTTTATGACCTAAATACTATACCTCTTTATCTCCTTTACCTATTATACGCATCCCATATGCCCCTCTCCTCTGGCAACACTTTATTCTCTATATTTATGAATCTGTTTTGTTTGCTCATTTGTTTTGTATTTTAGATTCCACAAATAAGTGAAATTACGTGGTTCTTTGCCTTTCAAAAGCATTCATATGTCTTTTTCTAATATGCATGACTCATAAATTGAATATACCCAATTTTTTATTTTTCACATCATGAAGAGGAAGCATAACTTCAGGCATCTTAAACGTCCTTCTATTATTAGTTTAGCTATTTCTCTATTGCTTTGAGAAGTGAGAAATCAATCATTCACAAACTAATACTTTTAAATTGTTAACTGTTATTCTTTCTAAGAAACAGCCTAAGACACACCACTAATAATTACTGTAATTCAAGAGCTCCATGTGTGTTTCCATGACAAAGCATATCCGTAACAAAATTTTTAACTGTTAATTATTCCATGGCAAAAATAGCATTGAACTGAATTAAGCAGAGTTTTAACAGCTAACACAGATTATGTCTTCACACTTAATCGTGAATCACATATATTCATAATTTATTTTTTAATATATCTTTTTTCCCTATATGTTTCTCAAGAATAAATATACCCCATAAAATAGATTCCTTTATTAAAGCATTTTTCCCTTGTTATCAGAAAACAATGACAAATGAAAACAGTGTTGCTGAAAACTGATTTGTTTTATCTGTCTACTCACACTGCACAACATTCATTGAGTAGACTAACAAGTTTACCAGAAAAATAAATGCTTTCCTGTAAGGTTTAGAAAACACTGAAAGCCTACATTCTGCAACGTATCTGAAGTAGCAATAATTAAACATTCTAAGAATGCCCTCCAATATTTCAACTTTCTCTTAGAAATACCCTGTACATTTTCTTTGTTTTAATCCCTGCTGTCCTGGAAGAGGGAGAATTTTTGTTGCCAGGAATTGCAGTTCGTGCTTTTGTCCTTTTAATGGTGGGGTAGAAGACATCTATCTACCTGTTTTGATCATGTATTCCTACTGAATGAACTCATTACTATTTTCCCTACAAATCCTTATCATAAAACTTTAGACCTGATCAAAACTGAGGCCCTTATGGCTCCAGTTGATATGGAAATCACAATTATCTTACAACATCCTAACAGATTGGGTACAAAAGTATTTATAGTATTAAGACATACATTATATGTGGACTTGGGAGAGGGGAGAGAGAACACAGATGAAGCTATTGAGAAATTTAAGAATTAGTACTCAGCTTGCAGCAAGGTTTTACCTTGTAAATACTCAAGTACAGGGTAATGATTTGTTTAATGTACACAAAGATTGCATGCTTTGGGTAATGGTCAAGAATCAGATATGCCTCTGGTGTAAAATAAGAAGATACCATCAAAAACAAAAGTTTATTTTATCAGCTTTTGTGAGGGGTCCTCTGAGAGTGTGTGAGTGGATTTGGGAGGAAGGGATGGATGTGGTTTGTAAATGTTGCTTCTTTCCAAATCCTACGGATTAGTTTCCTGTGGTATCTTGACCTATTTTGCTATTAATTCCATAGAGGTTAAACATATTGCAATTATGTTCTGTTTGAATCTTCTCTTCACATTCTGATGAATTAAGCACTTAAGTTTAATGTCATTGAATGTATCAATCTTCTCTTTCAATAGAAGTGTTCTTAGTCTCGTTTAAGAACCCTACTCTGAGCCTCTAAAGAGATATATCCTGTATTTTATTCTGAAACTTGAAAATGTTGCTTCTAGTGTTCATGTTCTCATCTATCTTGAATTGAGTTTCTGATATGGATGCTTTTTCCACACAGATAACATGTATCTCAGCATTGTTTATTTAATATTTCCAGTTTTCCCCAATGATCATGATCTCAGCTCTGTCATAAATACATGTAACCTATCCATAGGATCTGTTCAGTGCCCTTTTTTTTAAAACCTGTACAGGCTGTCTAGCCATAAATGAAGAACTCACTGTCTTTTTATAACATTATATATTAAAATGCAAATGCATCATATATTGGATCTTTTTCCTTTGCGCTTTGATTTAAATTTTAGACTCAGGTTATCAAATTGCACAAAACATCCTAAGATCTAAATTCAATTAAATTTAAATCTCGTCACTTAAATTTTTAAGAAGTTTTTAATTTGGGCCATTTAAATTTTCCACATTTGCTGTATTGAGCATTCATATATTATAATTTCCATTACTATAAGAAATACTGTTAAAATTATGTTTACTAACCTAGTTGCTCACATACAGAAATACAATTTTATTATAAAATAATGTTAACCAACCACCTTGTTAGCCTTTTTTAAATTTCTAATAAATTTACTGTGGTTTAATTTGGATTTTTCTATTCAACACTGTACTTGCATGACAGTAAAATACAGAAAGGAAAATAAATAAAAGGCACACAGAATTAGAAAGCAACAAGTAATGTAATCATCTAAATTAAAATTCCTAATGAAGCTAATAAAAACTTACTAAGCTAAGATTAGCAAGAGTTCAAGATGCATAACCAAGATACAAAAAAGAGCTTTATTTCTTAGGGAATAGCAATGAATAATTTCAAAACCACTATCAGTTAGAAGGCTATCCAAACACAAGAAATACTTAGGAATACACTTAACAAAGATTGTGCAAAACACCTAAAACCCTAAACTACAAAACACTGCTGTGTTAGTTTCTTAGGGCTGCTGTAACAAAGTACCATAAATTGGTGGCTTAAAACAGCAGAAATTTATTGTCTCACAGTTGTGGGGAGTAGAAGTCCAAAATTAGGGTATCTGCAGTGCCATGCTCATTCCCTCGCTCCCTGATGGCTCTACGGAAGAGTCCTTCCTTGTCTCTTCTGGTTTCTGGTGTTTGTTAACAATCCTTGGCATTTTTTCACTTGTGGATGCATCCCTCCAGTCACACGTCATCTTCTTCCTGAATGTCTTCATATTGTCTTCCTTCTGTGCATGTCTATCTCTGTCTAAACCTCTCCCTTTTTATAAGGACACCAGTCTTATTGGATTAGGGCCTACCATAATGAAAACGAAAACTTGACTAACTCTGTTAAGACTATTTTACATCCAAACATATTGGTAAACTAATTTGTCTGTAGATTCTTTCTAGAGTCTGAGAAAAACAATTATGTCATCTGAATATAATGAAAGTTTTTATTTCTTCTTTTGAATACTTAATATTTCTAAAACCTTGGTCTTATTGCCCTAAAATCTGTTACAATCATTCTCTTGTTCATGTATATATTTAAAAAATAAGTCTATAGACCACTTTAGATGAGAGATTTCCTGTAGATTTTTAATAGACATTCTATCAGATTGAGGAAGTCCCTTTTCTACTTTATAATTTGCTGATAGAACTCAACATAAATTCAGAATGCTATCAAATTTTTAATTCATTATTGAAAAATGAACATAGTTTTTCTCCTTCAACTTGTAATTGTTTTAAATCATGTTTATAGATTTCCTTATAAAACTACTGATTTGATTTGCCATTTATATTTTCTGCTATTTATATTTATGAGTGAAATAGGTCTATAAATTTCATTCTTTGGAATGGCTCTGCCAACTTCCTGTATAAGTTTTGATTTCCTTGTAAGAGCTTGGAATATTCCCACTTTACGTATATTATGCATACATAGTTTTATTACATTGAAGTAATATGTTAAGACTTAGTATATATTACCTGTAAAAATGTCTGGGTCTAGTGTTTTCTTTGTAAAAAAAAAAAGTTTTACTTCAACTTTCAACATATTAATTATACTTGTAGTTATAGAAATGTTCAAACATCTTATTTCCTACTGAGTAAAATTTTATAACTACTACTTTTCTAGGATTTTGTCCCTAATTCAGTATTTTCAGTTATTGGCATATACTTGTAGATGGAGTTCCATCCGCTGAACTGATTTTAATATTGACTTTAACTGAAGTTACCTCTTTTACACTCATATTACCTAGGTATGCCTAATCCATTTATCATTCATTTTGCATTTCTTAGAATTATATACAAATGGAATCATACAAAATGCATTCCTTTTGTCTCTCCTCTTTCACTCTCTGAGATTGGTCCATGTTGTCATGTACATCAATAGTTCATTCTTTTTTATTTATGAAAAATATTCCATTTTATGGTTGTACCACAGTTTCTTCATCTATCACCCAACTGAAGGGCACTTGGGGTTGTTTGTTACAAAGCAAATTACAATGAACATTCATGTACAAGTTGTTGTGTGAGCATGTGCTTTCACCTTTCTTTGGTAAACATTTGTAAGTGGAATGGCTGAATTTTACAGTAGATGTATGTTTAACTTTTTAAGGAAAACTGCCAA